GCCTCTCTCATCTTTTTAAGTGGGAGAGCTTGCACAATTGGTGGCTGACTAAATACTTTTTTGCCCCACTGTATACCCCATTTGTGGGGCCAAGGTAAATGCTCCAACAAACAGTGGGCCAGAACAAAAATCAAATGAATCAAATATAGTTTGCTCTAGGCAATGTATAAAATTAAAATAAAACAGATATAATGCAATTACAGTAAAATAGACAGCGGCTCTAACCTGAACATCAACTAAACATCTAATAATCACCACATGCCTGTTGAAACAGGACCATTTTGATGACTGCAGAAAACCAGCGAGGAGGGTACTAGTGCGCCTCTGGGTTACGATGTTCCAAAACAGAGGGACAGCTACAGAGAAGGCTTGCCTTCAGATCCTTTTTCCTTTGCTTTTTTGTGGGGGTGGGACCCTAAGCAACCCTCCCAAATGCATGGGCTAGGCAGTTTTCACCTGGAGGAAACAGATCCTAAAGTAACATGGAGCTACGCCATATAGGATTTTATTGATGGCAACTAGCACTTTAAACTGGGTTTGCAATCTAATTGGTAGCAAATGCAGTGACTGTAGAATTGGTGTTGTGACAGTAGCAACACTCGACTGCTAATATCCTGGTTATCCCCCTGCATTAAAAATTAGTTTGGAGGGGAAATAGACTGCTGGGGCATAAACAAACCTTGGGGTCCATGTGGTGTTAGAAGCACGCCTGTTGCAGATGCAGCCTGCAATGACTAGGAACTAGACAGATGAAAAACAAGGAAGAGCTGTTTTCTCAAGTACATCATTAATTGGCATTGATTGTTATGAATGGAAATAGATTTCCTGATGGCTGCTCACTTCAGTAACTATTCAGACTATTGGTTTTACCAAACTAACAACTGAGAAGCTGGCTATGCTGCCTCTTGTGAAATTCCCAACATTTTAGCTGGATGGAAGCAAGCTATGAACACTAGCAATATTCCCTTAAAAAAATGTAAGTACATGAGTACTTACCAAATGTGCTTTGGCTTCTTCTTTTTCTGGGGAGAAGGGGGCAGAAAAAAATTATACACATTAGTATACAGGTAGTCCTCACTTAACGTCCAGTCATTCAACGACTGTTCAAAGTTAGATGGTCCCTGCAGTCATGTGATTGCCATTTGCGACCTTCACTGCCAGCTTCTGACAAACAAAGTCAATGGGGAAGCCAGCAGGTGGTCACAAATGGCAATCGTGATCACGGGACACTGCAACCATGCAAGATTTGCCTAATGAAGGCAACTGGGACTCCCAGAACTGTCACACCTTATGACCGCGTCTCTTAGCAACGGAGTTCCCAGTTCCAATTACCATTTGTAAGCAAGTACTAGCTGTACTAAATCTTTGTACAGGGAACTTTGATAAACTTCATTGCTAAATAAGGGATCACTTATTTAAAGCAGACTTGATAACCTGTAGATTCTTTTCATTTCAACAATTCTGTTATTAGCACTGGTCTTCCATTTAAAGGTACAGCTATTATTGTACACATATGGCTCCTCCCTTTGAAATTTCTGATCCTGCATTCTACAAGAACTTTCGTCAGGATTGCAACCTTATGCAATGGGCCATGGATGGGCACAGAGGAGACTAGTGGGAAAGAGGAAAAAAGTGAGCTTTGTCCCACAGGTTAGAATTCTTTAAAAGAAAGGTTTCTTTGTTGTTAACATTCCCATCCTAATGTTTAAGCTTTAAACAAGCATGTTTAGGATTATAGCCATATTTTAGCTTCCAGTTTGTAATTCACATGAAAATGCCTCTACCTCATATATCCACAGGTCTCCAGAAAATGTACACATTTCTCCCATTACTAACCCATTGGCTTAGCCTGTTGTGTGAATCCAGTCATTATGGCTTGTATGCCATGATTTATAGATTAGTGCAATCTGAACATCTAGCCAATTGAAACTTATCCAACTAACCTTAGTTAAGCAAACCACAGCTAAACACAATGTGCAAATCCAACTCACAAATTAATTTGCACTGTTTCCTGCTTTGGGACTCCCAATTTTTCTGCACTTTGGTTCATTTAACATTAGAGAGCAAGTTATTTCAGATTCAGATACACCAGGAAATTACCTTTCTCCTTTACAGAGGAAGACTTTCTCCATTTATATATATTCCAGCCGAACAGCACCAGAGCAGGAAAACCAACCCCGATGAAAAGCCACATAAGTAAGGAAGTGGAAGATTCTAAAAGACAAAGTAGGAAGCCTTTAAATGAATTCAAGATCACGAGACTCTTCTGCATATGCACTCATAAAATGCCAAGAATGGAGATTAGATTTATAGATAATGGCACAGTGGTATGAACCCTGCTGTTGCAGTTTGAAGACCATGGCTAAGCACGTTGCATGCACCCAACTTGTTTATTCAGTAAAACATAATTAAACAAATTATGATTTAGCACACTGAGTGAATCCAGGCAACTGCTTTTGGGAACAAAATTAACCAGTGCTTTACAGAAACTTACAAAGTATCCTTTGATATTAAAAATGAGAAGAGAATTGCAGAAATCATTTCTGGAGTGCAGGTAACTGACAAAGACCCAAGCTATCGTCTCTGTCACTTCTTCTCTCAAGCTTTTGTTTCAGGACAGAGGAAGAGAATGCATGCCTGTGCACATGCCCACATCCAGATAGGCTGGAAGAAGATAATCTGGTGCCCTCTAAATGATTGGACTACGTCTTCCATAACCCCTTGCCACTGATCATACTAAGGCTGACTGGAGTCTAAATCCAAAAACGTATCAGCTTCCCTACTCCCAACAGAGGCAAACAGTACTAAATGTACTAATTCTGGGAAGGAAAAAGTTCCTAGCCATACTCTTTTCATCAACCAGATTAAGGATCCTTTCAGCCTGGTATTTTCCCAAAGTAGACTACAGGTAGTCCTCAGGTTACGACCCTAATTGGGACTGGAATTTCCATCACTAAATGAAAAGGTTGTTACGCTCAACATCACATGACCACGCCGCTTAGTGACAGCAGTCCCAGCTGTCCAGATTGCGGTGGTTAGGCCAGGACTGTGTAGTCATTAGGTGAGGACCACATGCTTCTTCTGCCTCTGCTTCAACTCCTCCCACTCACCTATCCCCCCCCCCATCTCTGCCCTTTTGGCTGCCCTGCCCTCTTGCTGCCCCCAGCTGACCTTCACCATCTTCTTCTTCCCGCTGCTGGCCTGGGATCCAGGTGCTGCCAAAGGGAGCTTGCTGGCCCCGGCCAGGGAGGCAGAGGGATGGAGCCGGAGGAGGAGGCAGGGCAGCAGTGTGGGTGGAGGAGCGATAGCCCGAAGACCACGGAGAGCACAGTGGGATGCGCTGGCAAGGCGCAGCGTGCTCCATCGCCAAGTGAGGCAGAGGAGGTGGCAGTGGCTCCCCAAGTGAAGGTGACTGTGCGGAAGGCACTCTTTGGGATGGCAGCAGAATGGAGGAAGCGGAGGGACGAGGGGCTTCCCAGAGGCACAGCGTGCACTCTTCACTGGAAGCGCTCCTGGAGAACTGGCCTGCGGGCTTCAGCAAGGGGTGGAGGTGATCCCCACGCTGACAGAGCCTACCCACAGGCCCTCTGCTCACTTGGCCCAGCCTTCCTCCTACAAAGCCTCATGAAGAGCCAGCAGTTTCCAACATGCTGAAGCCTGCAGGCAGGTTTTCCAGGAGTGCTTCCAGTGGGTGCTCTGCATTGTAACTTTGAACGGTCACTGAATGAATGAATAGTTGTAACTTAAAGACTACCTATATGCTGAGCTGCAACTCCTGACAGATTTCTTTTCCCCAAGCTTCACAAGGAATTCATAAGAACTCAGGGACCTTCATTGATTTAAGAGACCATCTTTTTCCAAAGTGCTCCCTGTTACTTATGGCTAAGATCTTATGAGGCTTCTAGCTTCAGTTTGATCTAAGAGCATTTTATTGTCATGAAGTATAGGCAACCCCTATAGTTTACTCTACCATCCTGTTATTGCAGTTTAATTTGGGTTTAGATAAGCTTTACCAGGAAAGAGAGATGGGCAGAGACTTCTCCATCTATACCACCCTCAACTCCAGTTTATTACAGCCAGGAAGGACAACTGTATGCTGTACTGCAGTGCGGACAGACTGCAGAACAAAATGACATGAAGCTGGCTTCTGCAGCCTTGCCGTTGTTTGGGTTCCAATGCAACGTTAAACAAAAATATGAGAAAAAGAATTGAGGAAACGAACATCTGAAGCTCACATAACTCTAACTAAACCATGCATCAGTGTTAGCCTCAGATGAGTCCTACAGCTAGTAAATTTAATCCTGCAGTGTAGCTCAAACAGTCATTACTGATTTAAACAGAAATTGTACAGGGCTTCAGTTGGAGCTAAGCTTTGGGTTGACATATAGTTATCTGCCTCCTACGTATTTTAAGTAAAGTCTCCTAGTATGGCTTCTACATTAGCACCCTCCTTCCACTATTCTCTCTCTCTTGCTCTCTGTGTGTGTGTGTGTGTGTGTGTGTGTGTGTGTGTGTGTG